AGAAAAATGAAAAATTATCGGTGACAAACGACTCTGGAATTAGTACGCCCCCTCGTGTTACCCCTCAACACACCCCCTCCGTCACAGCTCACGTCGTAGCGTACTAGATACGTGACGCAATCTCAGTATCAAATTTCTATTGTGTGTGAAATCGTGCAATGCTTCACTTTCCGTAATAAGTTCTGTTACGCCACAGTCGAAGGCCACGTAGAGATTGTTGTATCAGCGCTGCGATGGAGAAGAACGAAATCTTGGCGACAATAACTACAATTCTGTCTCTTTTTGGTACGCTTTTCATCATCGTCTCTTTCTTTCTATGGAAGGACATTCGAACTACATCAAGGAGAATTCTGGTTTACATCTCCATCGCAGACTTTCTCACATGTGTTGCAACAATCGCTGCTATAACAAATTTTTGGTTGTCAAGAACTGAAAACAAAGAGGTCTGTTTCGTCCAAAGTATCATTGGAACTTTTTCTGTGCTGTGTTCTTTCTTCTGGACAGTTTCTTTGGCGTTGCATCTGTACATTTCTGTTTGCTGGAAGAATTCCAGACTAGCTGAGCGTTTGTTGTACTTATTTCACGTGTTTGGCTGGGGAATTCCAGCAATAATTGTGACTGTCGCAGCGTCGACTCATAAACTGGGAGACAACGGCAACAAAGTCTCAGCAGGATGGTGTTGGATCAACATAAAGTTGAGCTGGTACGAGCAAATCGAATGGATGCTATTGGCAGGAAAATTGTGGGAAATAATGGCATTTTGTGCAATAGTTGTACTTTATGCCTTAGTCAAACGAAATATGAAGAAGGAGGTAAGGTTATTTGATCCAGAATTCCTGCTCATTTTTTACTAAAGTCCCATTTCCTGTACCTTCTTTTATCATCATTGTGAATCCTGTTTTTCTTTCCCACAAATACATTGAAAAAGTCAAAAGGAAATGAATGTAAGATTTAGATTGGCTCCTGTGATTGTGGAGCATGTGAACAGCAATGGTGCCCTCAGGGTTTTCTCCAAGACCTTAACTCTGTGAAATATCCTCTAGACCAGTAAAGGTTTTTAAATGGATCTTAAATCTGTATAGCTCTCAGTGTTCTTCACTTAATGGGATATTAAATTTTTTTGTGGATTGCCTCAGTACTTATGGCACTAGAAGACATGTCTGACTCATCAGTGGCTGCAAAAAATGACAACAAAACTTTGACTGTGTTGAGCTGAGTGTTGGTCAGGGGAGTATCAGTATTGATATCAGTAATCACCATATCTTGTGGTCTTATTGTTAAAAACAATCCTCTCAACTGCTCAGGATAACAGTTGTGAAGTCATGTAAAGAGCTTGAGAAAGAGTTATATTTAGTCATTGTAACTGATATGCTATTACACCAAGTGCACTTTCCTGGTATCCAGTTTGAAAAAAATACCCTTTGTTGTCTCAGGGTCCAGGGTCTGGTGATTTCTTGACAGTTTCAATTAGATAACTATTGACCAGGTACATGCACTCTATTGTTTGATTTGAAAGGAGACACCACTTACACACCAAGTGCTCACCTGTTTGATTTACTTTCACCGCTAGAACGTTTATTTGGTTCATGGCACTATACCAAATTCCCAACAGGTAGGCAAAAAAATCCTGCATCCTGTACTCTAATTTTGGCAAATTCCACTTCCTGGGGAGCAGTCAAATCCTAAGTCCTGTCAGGATATTTTGCATTTTCCTGAATCCCACACTGTATTTTGGTCAAATCCTGGATTCGAAAATACCCTTCCAGACCTTGGTAGTACTGCTTGATTATTAAATGCTAGCTTTTGCCTTTGTTGGTGTCCCCAATATTGCTGAGATACTATTTCAATCGTATATCATCTTAGTTATAGACGATATTATCTCAATTTAGTTCTTTTTACTTTAACTTTCTGTGTTATACCTGCAAACTAGTTGGTGAGATTGTCCTCATTGTATATGCACAATATATTTGACTTGACTTGATGCTGGTCACTCTTAGGGGGCAAAAGGTTACTCCTTATTGCTGCAAGAGCAACAGACACAGACTGCAAGTGTTGATTAGGATCATGATGTATTCAGAGAGAGGGGTTGAGGCACTTGAGTGCAAGCAGTGTGTTTTTCTCTTCTTAGGCTTACTTTTTTTTGCATTGTTTTGCAAGTTTGGTAACATTACTCTTTGGTTGGCTGTGGTTAGTATGTTTGTGGAATGCTTCTTTCATAAATTCCAGTGGGGACAAAAAACTTTGAAACCTGCTCAAAAATTAGAGTGCATATCAGACATTGGGGTTGAGGGGGTGTTAACTTACAGTTATTATATATTTTTCTTAGTTTAGTAGTTGGGTGGATCTAGGAAAAGATCAATATGATATGAATGGCTGTATGATATTTGTAGATCTAAATATATAACTATCCTTAAAACTTTAAGAATACTTCAATATAAAACAACAAATGCATGGATTGTCTCCTTAGCTTCATGAGAAAAACAGAGTATTCACTGAAAGTACAGTGGCACAAGCTCAGAAGGCAGAAAGGAAACTGATTTGTGTTCCCTTATTATTTGTGTTGTTGCGTGTTTGGGGAACTATAAGATTTCTCCTGATGATTTCACACCATGAGTCACCATTTTGGCTGCTCATTCTACAGGTGAGCAAAATTGGGAATAAGAATTAGTGAGAAACAGGTAGAAATTACCTCAGTTAGGGTTTGTAATGGTTTTATTTAAAAAACTCCTTACAGTTAGTATTTTTTAAAATTTTTCAGTCATACTTGCAATGTGCAACAATTTAATTGACATCCTGAATTCTTGTTTATGGAACTATGTAGTTATGATAAGTGAATTGTGAATATTGCAATCATGCTATGCATATGTTCCCAATGTATTTACCTTTACTGATTTGTTATGCTTACTTTCTTGTAATTGTTGTTGTTATAGGGTATTGGAGATAATGCCCCTGGATTTGCAAACTTTCTTCTATTTTGCTTTTTTACTGAAAAATGTTTTGGTAAGTTTCGTCGCTGTTTCCAGTGTTGTACACCATGTTTTGACTCAAGATCTCCAACTGGAGTGAAACGCTCCAACTCACTTCAGGCAACTTATGATGTTGATGGGACAATAGGACAACCAATCATTCATCAGCATTCCATAAATAGAGAAACTGATTGCTTGAATGGGCATCTTAATACCACTGTTGATTATTCATCAGTGAACTGCTGAATGAAGAAATTGCCCCCTGTGACTTTGCACTCATGAAAATCAGCTCACACAGTCATTGGTTCACTAGTGTGAAAGTATATCTCACCAAAGTGGGATGAATAGCGGTGGATATTTATTGAATGGCAAAGTGGAGACATACTTATCCACCACTTTCAGGAACACCAAGTTGGATTACTGGATTATTTATATTTACTACACAAAAAAGCAAAAAATTAGTGCATTACTTTTAGTAAATGAAAAAAATAGTTGGAAATGAATCTCTGGAAGCACAATTTCATCTCTTCATCTCAAAGGGGGGGAGGTGGATAGCACTTGGTGGTCTTGCTAATCACTTTTGTGGCAGCAAATCAGGGCTGAGTATTCACCCATGTGGTAATAAATCCTAATAAGGAAAAAGTTACTTAGAAAATAATTTATTGAAAAAGTAAATCAAATTTTCTCCACGAGAAGTGAATGTCTATTTTGGTGACAAAAATATATGATGGATGTGTTAGAGTTAACTTTCTTTGAAAAGTATATTTAGGAAATCTCTATGATATTTCTTTATTGTAACTATTTTCTGTCAATAAAAAAATTCTAACAACTATCAGAGGTAGATTTTTTACAAGAAGTATTACTCTAGCAGTACATCTGTGCTACATCCATATGGATAAAGACTACCTGACATTTACCATAATACTTATTTGAGAAACTTTTCATATAGCACTACTATTCAATTTGCATGTGATGTGTCAGAGGATAGTTTAAGGACGTCCACACTTGCTAATGACAGGTCACTAAAACTTAATGCTACACAACATTAATATTTTTATGAATTCTACAAGATATTGCCTTCAAATACAGTTCAGCCCATGATTTGTGGCAACAGTTGTAGGCCATAATCAATTTTGTATTTTTTTTTCAACAATTCATGTTCCCTATAGCTAATTGACTAAAAAGGATAAAGGTTTTAGAGT